AGGGGATCCAGGGGTGTACTTGTCCACCCCCCCCTCCCCTCCTTTGTGAGAAAAATCCCTTCCCTTCGTTTTCAAGAACGCCAGCAAATTGATAAACCAAACTTTAAATTCTTCGCTGAAATTTATCGTTTGAACAGTCACGTTGTTGAAAATTTATTCGAAGAAAAAATACATCCAGCGGTTCTTGTCTCGCTGCAGCCAGTTCGTAGGCCGAGCTTGTTCAATTTGCCGAGAACTTGACACGTTGCTCCCTCATGGATCGCTTATTGTTAAATGATCTAGTTTCGTCACATATATTTCCATCAGCCCATAACGGTTCTGATATTTCTATATATCGGACAGGAGCCGATGGTGTCCGCAGTTGCCTAGCAACAAAACCAATAAGTACCTCCAAGCGCGCTTCAGCGTTCTCGTTTGATCCTTTTTCGTTGCGCTATCTCTGCTTAAATCTTCCTATTTCTTCTTTGAACGGGGACTGCGCGACATTTTTTACGTAAAGGGGGAAAATACAAGCCGCGCCCCCTTCAATTTTCCTTAGGAAACATGTACATGCTCCACGATCGGGTTGGCAGATTCATACAAATATCCGACCGAGGAGTTTGAAACTGTAGACTCAGGGATGTAGACAAATGTCCAGCCAGGGTGACAAGGGAAAAATTTATTTTCTTGAAGGAAACTAATTAAAGTCGCAAATGCGTGCAGTAAAATTAAAATATGACCGAAGTAGATCGATCTGTAGACGGACAAACAGAAAAAAATCAGTATGAAAAAGCGTCAGCTAAGACAGCTTTTTTTAATTTTAGTAATTAGAATAAACAGACATACTAGCTTTCAAGGAAATATTGCTTTACTCTTTTCAGTGATCAAAATCAATTTCCTCCTTGTAATATCTATGCTTCATGAAACAGTTATAAGGTCACAAGAATGAAGGGATTGATCACACAAGATGAATTTAATTGTCGATAATTGAAATTCTAACAACTTCTTTCCACTACGTATGAAGCGCTCGGGTATTAAGACTACAGATGAGAAATTGAATGGACAGTTAACTAATCAATAAAGCTGGCAACGAATTCAAGATCTTAGGGCACTTGATAAAATACGCTAAACTGCTTTATATCACGTTCTGCAAAAGTGGGATCTAAAATGTGAAGCAATGGCCCTTGTGTGGATATGATTACGTCAGAGAAGTAAATTTCCCGACCAAGCCTCGTTTACGTGGGAATTTTTTTTAACTCTTTTTTCTTGAGGATTTCTTTATGTATCAGTTTGTTTATGTATCATTTCAAAACGAGGCTTGGTGGTGTAATTTGCTTGTGTGACGTAAACATGCAAAAGGGCTATCTTTTTCAAAACCTGCCGACTAGCTAGTTCTAGGCAGATTACAAAAGCTTAGTAGTAGACAAAAGATTATTATGTTTACTAAGCAATTCATAAAAGTAACGATAGAAAAGAATGAATGCTGTAGATGTCAAGGACTTAAAAATTGTTGGTTACAACAAACACTGAGTGTGAATTTCGTTGTCGCAGCTTAGAGCCCATGACTTAAACTCAATCCGCCCGACACTCCGTCTCTTTTCTTGTAAAAAGGGATTTTTTTTTTCATCTCGGCAAAACTGATTCGCGTCCACTTGTTGCTTTTTAATCGTTTTTACCCAACCACACTTATCCCATTCTGTTTTGTTAAAAAAACAGACATGTTCTTACACGGATTGGCCTTAGATCATTTTCAGTTCAATTCTCCCGCGTACCAGTCAATGTTTGATCGATCTGCTAGTGCTTAAAAGCACTACCAGTCTTACTTAGTACCCCGGGGGAGGGTACTCCCCATATTGTAGACTTGAAGGGGAGACTCCGCCCGAAAGGGGGAGCTTTTTTATGCTTCGTGTATATGAAGGGATCTCACCAATTGAAGTATATGTGAAAGGGTAGGGCAATCTGTCATCTTGGTGTAAAACGACCTAAAAGGGCTAAGGAAGGATTTATTTTATGGCTGTGAAAAAGTTTATTGCGATTTATTAAAACTTTATAGACATTGCATCTATAGCAGTTCAAAGGGATGCAAAGTTCTAAACTATGTATGTGAAAGTGGTACCATTTGTCAGTGGAAGGTATACGAAAGGGGTACCAATGCTGTCAAAAATGCATGGGTATATAAAAGGGTAAGGGGTTGGACCTCGGGGCGCAGCCTCCCCGTCTAATACCTTCTACATTATCTCCCCGGCCTAGTACCTCCGAGGTCTTGCCTGTGGAACCCCGTTTAGTCGTTCAACAATTTGATTTCGAAGTCCGGTGGCATCTTGAAGCAAGCGCTACTGATTAAGTAATATTCTGAAAAAGTAAGCTTGGACATTTTAACAAAAAATTGTAATAACATAAGATATGCCACAAATCTTAAAAAAAATGAAACATTGTTATCCAGCGTGAGATCCGATGCTGTTACTTCATCGCTTTCGAAAATTTTTATTTTCATCTGTTAGTTAGGAGTTCGGTGCGCTTTTATATCGGATACACTTGAACGGATCAGGCTAGTCCACGAAAAAAATTGCTGGCCCACCGGAGATGGCGACCGTTAGCGAATATTCTACTGCGTATGGGCTTGAGCCCGGGCCGAAGGGCGTTGTTGTTTGTTTGGTTTTTGAACATTCGTCCAGGGACAACACCCGTCACAGAATCAACACTGTTCAGAGGGACAACACCCATCACAGGTACAACACCAGTACTTTTTTCTTAATATTTCTTTTTTTGTGCACGAAGTATATGAAAAAATAAAGTGGGCTTAATAAAGACATGAGCACACGTTTTTCTTACTAATATATACCTCACAATACTTTTATTTACCCAAGTTTTGGTCAGCTGAAATGACATGTATATGCTTCGGTTACGACGGGAACTTGACACGAACTTGTCACAAGTTTCAGTAGTCCCTGAATGTACAATTTGCACTGTATGCTAACAAACCTTGAACCGAAGCAATGGACATTTTAAAAGTACAAGTGTAAGTAAAGCTTGTATTTCAGTACATAGAGGATCTGGATGGGATTTGACTGATAGCTGAAAATTGGCCAAGATTTTAACCGTCAGCTGAGAAAATTTTCAATTCGTAAAAAAAATTAACAGATGGGTGAAATATCGCTGCACTGAAACTCTGACTGATAATTTAAAAATATCTGATCATCCCCATGCGAATTCTCTACGTAATACAGTCTAATCCAGAAGTTCTAAAAACTTGCAAAGGCAAGAGAGCTGTTAAAGCAGAAAGTTTTCATTTGGAACTTTTCGCAAAAATTCCTCGGCTTAAAAAATGTAAAACAAAAATATCTGACGGACAGCCCTCCATGTACATATATTTCGATTACGTTCCTTTGTTAGCCTGAATTTCAGCCATATCGTGAGTCGCAAACTCCCCGAGTGAGCGAGGGGAAAAGGCGGCTGAAATTCAGGATAATTCCTTTGTTTAATAACTAAATTTTAGAAATATCATTGCATGGACTACCTTCTTGCCAGGCTCTAACTACGAAACTATACTGAACGTATCAGGGGCGGATCTAGGGGGAGGGTGCAGGGGGTGCGCACCCCCCCCCCCCCCCCC